GCTTGGCCGACGGCACCCTGAGGAGGCCCGCTCTGTGGGAGCGTACCGGTCTGTGGGAGGGAATCTGTGGCAGAAGGCGGTCTCGGAGGTATCCAGGTCCGATGCCATGGAGCGCTTTAAAGGTGGTAACTAACACCTTAAAGCGTACCCGGAAGGCCACTGGCAACCAGTGCAGCTCGCGCAGCAGCGGCGTTACATGCATGTAAGTAAATATGTAACGCCGCAGCAGCGTTACATGCATGCAGCTCACGCAGCAGCGGCGTTATATGCATGTAAGTAAGTATGTATGTATGTATGTGTGTGTGTGTGTATGTGTGTATGTATGTATGTTATTCAGATACGCAAGAATACCTGTTTTTTGCTAACTACTCAGAAAGCAATTTCATACTTCCCAGAGTATTGTTAATTTAAAACATATGGCCTGAGAAATTCAACTCCTAAGAATGAAAAATCTTGGGAAATAAATTTTATAATAAAAACAATATCTCAGGCTGTTACTACCGATCAATGGCCACAATAGCATCGTCCTTCTTTATCCCTTTTACGGCTGCGAAAATCTCCAGGTGTTCTTTCATGGTCAGGCTGGACCAGAGTGCGTTCTCCTGAGGGCAGCAGCCAAGAGCAGCATTCTCCTCTGTCGCAGCTCCGTCCGCTCCTTTAATCTGCACCTGTCCCAAATAGGTAGCATAAGGACCTCATTTGTTTTTGTCCAATGTAAGAATATACTTCAAAATATCAAAGATGTGACCAGGTGCATTTCCGATCAATAAGGGCTGTCATTTATATTAAATCAGTAAGTTTATTAAAGCTCTTGATGTAATCCAAGAAGGAAGATGAGATCTAGTACAATACGTGAATAATGCAGAAGCAGACAATATGGCAGATTATAAGGACTGTGGAGAATTAAGTTGCAATTAAGGTGACAGAGGAATCTGCACAGAAAGTTTTCTCTCCAATCATTATGCCTTTGATAAATTAATCAATAGATTTTCTCCATGGGTCTCTGCCTTTTCTTCATATATTCTCTGATATATTACAGTAATATTATTTAAAGCGATGATATTGCCATTACCTTCCTAAACTGGATACACAGTTTTACTGTACAATAATAAATAACAGAAAGATCATAATAAACTTTTCTTTTTAAAAGCACAAGTTACACTTACCTGCCCAGCAGTTGGATCCACATCTCCTATTATCATGCTAATTGTTGTACTTTTACCAGCACCATTTGGTCCCAGAAGCCCCAATATTTCTCCTACAAAGAAGGTATTGCTATTAAAATATAGTTGTTTGTTTTTTAAAAAAAACCCAATGTATTACATATGCTTCATTAAGGAAACTCAGTTATTTTTTATTTTCCTAAGAAGTAGGGTTCAAAACGTAGAGGCATGGCCTTCTCTCATTAGAAAGAAGCTGCTGTTGTATTAGGTTAAATACATTCAGTGCTTTTTATATATATAAAAAAAGGTGCCAGAACTCACACACGTCATACAACCCGCCTTGCCTACCCTACAAGGTTCCATCCAAAAAAGGTGCCGGAACTCCGTTCTGGGCGTTCTATGACAAAAAAAGCCCTGAATACATTTGAGCAACATGTTACCTTTTTTAACACAAAAAGAAACATTTTTGGTAGCCAATTTTCTCCTCGGCTCTCTGTTGAAACATGGAGTAGAACAAGCCTTCCCATATCTGTACTCTTTGCACAAGTTGTGGACAATGATCACTGGTTTCTAAATTAAGAGGAGAGAGACAGAAAGATGTATATGTGTCTCTTTGTGTGCATACACATACAAATACACCCAGAGTGTATATATAATACAGGCAAACACACATATACAGATATATTTCCATCATCTGTTTATTCAGAAAAAGCCAAATAGGCATTATTTTCACCTGGGACAGAAACACTGACAGTTCCCTTGTTTCCAACACATCTGTTTATTTTGGGAGCAGTGTCCTTCTTTTCAGAAGTTAAGTCTGCTTGGATCTAGTATAGCCAGATTAGTTTAATCCATATGAGAAATGGACCATTCTGGAGTTGTCAGAAATGTGCTTTCCTTGGCAAATTTTAAACATAGTTATTTATTCTTCCATAGTCATATCCCATTTACTATCCCTCTTCCATTTATCCTTTAAATGGTTTGGGAAGTGCTGCCTCAGGCATCACCTTTATATTGTACCCTTTTTGAATATTCTGCGTATAGTTCCACCTACGATACTTGTTTCATTGAATGAGTGTTTAGTTTTTCAGCATCCAGAATGCCATGTATCCCCAAAGAAGCAAACAACATTTTGGTGGTTTGGACCTCACTTTTATTGCTGAAAAATATTTTTGGCCTCTCAGAAACTGTCTGCATTGTAGAGTTTTAAAATATTTGTATTTTCATAGCTAAGGACAAATCATCTGACTCATATCCCTGATGCTTCCATAACTCATTTTAAGAATAGTTCAATGATCTTCTTGGTCATTAACACTAGTTAGTCTAGTTCTAATGTCAATGGCAATTAATCTCTTTTGTAGGAGTTATGCTTCTGCTCATAGTTTTCTCAATACCTAGCAAAGCCTCCTAATATTCCTATCTGTACTGTACATAGAACTAATGAGTATATTTTGCAAAAGGAACAGTTACTAATACAAGCTTGGTTTCAAAGAAGAAAATGTGTAAGTCAATTTACTCCAAAAGAGTGTAAACAATCTACAAAACAAGGTAACAATAATGATAATATAAATACAAGGTAAAATTGCAATACAACAATATCCTGATGACCTGGTACACAGGGCACCTAGATCAGTGATGGCGAACCTTTTAGAGACCGAGTGCCCAAAAACTGGCCGAGGGCTCCGAGTGCCGCCTCTGGCACCCGTGCCATAGGTTCGCCACCACTGACCTAGGTTTTCTGAAAATTCCACCTTGGCAACTCTGGACTCTGATGTTTTCTTTCTTCTACTGTATCTTGGTATCCTTGAGTACAGTCCTGATAAGTATGTGCTTGCACAGTGTAATTAAACCATGCAAAGTGATAGGCGGGGTTGTGCATTTAACCATACTTCATCAGCAAATCACAAATATAAATGGAGCAATCTATATGTATTTTTTCAAAATATGAAAAGCCCAATAGTTGTGTTTTACCTCTTCTTCACTGGCAGAAGCCAGTGCACTCTGAGCTCTTCTCCTTTCATCTAGGACGTCTCTATCGTTCTCTTCGCTGAGCTCCTCAGGATTCTGATGGCTTCTTTTTCTTTGCGGAGAAATCCTAGGGATCAAAGACACAACAAGTCTGAAGTGACTGAGTACTAAAGGATAAATATTGACTCCAACTAGGAAAGCAATCAGCAGTCCAACCTTGAGGTAGGAGGTGAATGGAGATCTCATGTGATAACTTACTCAGTATCTGTGCAGCTCTATTATTATATTACTGCTTTTCTTTGCTCCCATTTTCTGCATCATTGTGGCACAAGTAGAGTGCTTGACAGTCCTCCTTTCTCTTGTTATCAATGTTTTTTTTTTTACTATTCTGAATTAAATGAACTCCTGTTAACGTCTCAGCCACTTTAACAAACCAGATAACCTATATAAGGGATCTATAAGGGATCAGGTTCACAGTATTCAGCAACCTGACTCATATTAATCCTAGATAATGCCTATCATCTCAACTGGACCTGCCTATTCCAGAATCTAACTCCAAATAGATATAAACAACTTTATCCTGTAGATAACATGCAAATTCCTTACAACAGCCTATCGAAGGTACAGGTAGTCCTTGATTTAAAACAATTCATTTAGGGCCATTCAGATTTACAAAAGTATTAAAAAAGTGACATGACCATTTTTCACACTTATGACCATTGCAGCATCCCCATGTCACATTATCAAAACTTAGACACTTAACAACTGACCCATATTTATGATGCTTGCAGTGTCCTGGGATATGCAATCACTTTTTGCAAACTTTTGACAGCAAAATCAATGGGGAAGCCAGGTTCACTGTTACTAACTTGACAAATGCAGTGATTCATTTAACAACTGTGGCAAAAAAGTTGTAAAATGGGGCAAAACTCACTTAATAAATGTCTCACGTAGCAACAGAAATTTTGGGCTCATTTGTGGTCATAAGTCGAGGACTACCTATACTCCTATAACTAATGAGTATATTTTGCAAAATGAATGGTTATAAATAACAGCTTGGTTTCAAAGAAATAAATGTATAGGTCAATTTATTCCCAAAGACTGTAAACAATGTACTAAAGAAGGTAACAACAGAACGATAAGAATAATGCTAGATAAATATAAGATAAAATTGCAATGCAACACTAGCAACAACAATCTCAACAATCTTCTTCCAATCTTTCTGCAGCTATTTCAACCTCCATCTTGTAAAATTAAAAAATATTTTAAAAACAAAACAGAATACTTGTGATGACATACAAGGCTATGTGCCTTGCTAATTAGATATTTTACGGAACATCTTCCTCCTATCAGTCATCTAAGATATAGATAGGATGCCCTCTGCAGAGCAACTTTTGATGTCAAGCATTTAAAGTTTTAAACCTACCTTCATTGTTTTGATAGTAAATTTAGGGAGGCTCTAAAGAAAACTGTCCAAAATTCTTTGAGACAAATAGGATATACAGTAGATAGGATATAGATGTGAAAACTAAATACAAGTGAGAAGTTATAGACGAACATGAAAGTATAAAATACTCCTATAAAATAATATTATCCCATTATAAAATATTATCCCCCATAGAATACTATTATTTTATATTTTTAATAATTTATTGAAGTTCTTAACAGACTTAGTAAAAACTAATACACACTAAACTAGAAGAAAAAAAGAAAATTAAAGTTCAGAAGATGCAGAAAAGAGAAAAAAAAAGACAACAAAAAGAATAATAAAGAAGTGATTTCCAACCTTCATCATATAGAACATAAGCTAACGTAGTAAATTTTCACCCTCTTTTAAAGTTTTTTTTTAAAAAAATCTTCTTCCCATAGCCTAACTTTTATCTACACACAATGCAGAAAACATCATCCTTTCAAGCCTAGTTCAGGAAAAAGTTTATTAGGCGTCTCCAGAAATATCAAGCAAATAATGTATCCTAAATCAAATAGTCCAACTTTATATTCCTTGTTTTTGCGCTATATATTCTTGATGTTTAAATCATTTCAAAGGCATCACTCTTTGGCATTTGACAGAAGTCTTCAAAGCTTTCACCAGCTTACTTTGTAAATCCCATAAAGAGACATGGCCAGGATTTCTTCTTGAAACTGTTCCATGTGCAGATCATTTTCTCAATTTTAATCTCAATTTTGTTGTCATCCATGCCTTCAAATGCTATAATGTCTATGTCAGATATAAATGTTTTACAAATGTTCTCATCTATATGAAAGTTTATCCATTGAAAAAAATTGTATTTTTTCTGAGATATTAGTTATTAATATCTCAGATTCTTTTTCAAAGCACTTTTTAACACAAGAAAAAGTTATCTGGCTTAGTTATTTTAACTTTTTTTCTCCCTGGTCCTTTAGTTCCCTTTAATATTCATTTGGAACCTTCATTAACCCCTCCTAATATGGGTTTAATTCCATTTCAGTCATTTCCCATGAGTATATCATGTAATCATATACTTATTTTTTAAATCTTTCAGCAAAACTAACAGATCTTCTGGTTTCCCAATCCATTGAACACTTTTTTTAAATCAAAATCTTTTTGCCTTTTGCCAGTCATACATTATTCTAAATTCTTTAGTCTCCATTTAAAATTTCTTAATCCAAAGAAGGTAAAACTCACCAGGTGTCAAATTAAGCTTGCCATTTTGAAGGTCTCTAATAGCCATCATGTGGTTAAATTGAACATTTCTGAATGTGATTAGAAATGAGTTCAGCTGGCTTAGTGTCCTTTTTAAAATATGCTGCTGCTGGAAGCAAAAATGTTGTCTCTCTTGGTTCCTGGCACTTGAATATATGGGGGACCACTGTTTAGTGACTACCTTGCAAGACGTTGCCATTTAGAACATTCGTGTGTGATCTCCCATTCCCTCCTTCACTGGAGAGATTTAAAGGATCGGCCTGCTCAGTGGTCTTTCATTCTTCACCATGCTCATTTCTACTCTCTTGCAGAAATGTCTTCAGTTAGCTGTGGCTCACATCAGAAGCCAGGAAATTCTTTCAGAGTGGATCCCATTATCACAACATTCAACAGTCACAAACATTATAAAAAAACCTATTTATTCCTCTTTGCATTATCATTTTCTTAAAAAATTCATTACTTTTATAGATCAATTGCTGTTTTACAGAATTGCTTTGAGCGGGAGATGGGCGGTTTCTAAATGTGACATATAAATAAAGACCTAGTTCTCAGGAGAAAAATCTAATGCTAGGGAAAATGGAAGGAAAAAGAAAAGAGGATGACCAGTAGCAAGGTGGATGACTCAATTACAGCAGCAATGAATGCACCATTGGGAGATCAAAAATAACAGGTTAGGGAGAGTTCTTCATGGAGAAAAACTATCTATGTGCTCATAACCAACCAACCAACCAATGGATACAGACACACACTTTCTCTCCTTGAGCCTACTAATATATATACCAACCTAAACACAGGATCTCTTCTCATAACTGGTCTGTTATATTTCAGTTCCAGATAGCGAAGTAAAAAAATGAAAATTATGCTGTGGATATAAGGCTAAATAAAAACAGAAACAGAAAATTATATTGAACGCATGTACACCCATAGAGGAATCTTAATTTAATACATTTAATTTCATATTTGGTTAAATCTCTCTAGATTTGGGGAACATATATACAGTACAATGATTTTGTGACAGATTTAATAACTAGAGACATAAGACTTTACTTAATCTTTTATTATAGTATAGTAGAAAAATATTTGTAGTGATGTCCTTTCAAGTAGTACCAGGAACGGTTACCTCATAATCCATATTGAATTAGAAGGCTTAGGCAAATGAGAAAAGGATGCCGCCATATTTCTCCTTCACCAGCCTACCAAATACTAAATGCTACCACTTATTGACATACAGCCTCATTTGCTCCCTCAAGAAGGTGATCATCAATACTTCTGCAAGTCTCTTGGATGTGTCTGGATCAAAAAAAAACAAACTCCTTCACTACTTAACTTCATGGGGAACTTTATTTATCCGTATCCCGTCTTTATTATTATCTGTATCCTGCTTTTATTATTTTTACAAATAACTCCAAGCAGAAAATATATCCAGCTCCTGTTTTCCCCACAGCAACCCTGTAAGTTAGGTTGGGAGAAAGTGACTGGCCCAAAGTCCCCCATCTAGCTTTCATGCCTAAGGTGGGTCTAGAACTCATGGTCTCCCACTTTATAGCCTGGTGCCTTATCCACTACATCAAACTGGTTCTCCATTTTAGTTTATTATTTTAACTTATTAGAGTTAATAGTACAACTGAGTTGCAGATATCCTGCAGTTCTAACAGGAATCTCTAGAACTTGAAGTTGGCTGTATATATGTACATTTGTCTGAAGAAATACGTAGATGTAGATATTAACTTCTTGGGTAATAAGACAGTCTGACTATCATTAATGCTTTTCTAAAATAATTTTTAAAAAATCTTCTTGCTATAAGTAAGAATAATATATTTGTTCCTCACCATGAGGGCAGACATCCAGATCTTATTTATATAAAAATTATATATTTCATCATCAGGTATATAAAAATAACCCAGTACCTATATAAAAATATAGATTAAAAAACAGTCAATAAAGTCCTTAAGTAGAGCTTATACAATTCACTCTAAAAGGAAAACAAAACTTTTAAAAGAAAGTTACTGGTTTTTGCACCAAAAGATGATCTAGCTACACATCATTTTTTTCAACTGTAAACAAAAGATTTAATAAAATTGTCCTTCAAGACAAAAGAACAGCAACTATACAAGTCATTGTGCTTTTTTACAATGTTTTATTACTACACATCTGCATTGGTGGCATAATTTGGGAACAACGAAGCACTTGCCATGGATTAACTGAGCAAATGAGAGCAAGAACAAAGCACAGAGCAACAGTATTAGATCCACAATTTAAAAGTTTATTCTTATTCTTAAATTTCTTTTTTTTTAAAAGAAAAATTTATTGGACTTATTCTTAGATTTCTTGTTATGCCTAATTCACTCCCTCAGTTCCAGGAATTGGAAGTTCCTTTGTTCCCAATAGGTTTCATATTCTTTAGCAGGTGATTGTATGAGGCTTGGTAGTGTTTTGAAATTTTTGTTTTTATTTACCAATTGTGCTGTAGATTGGCTGATGACAGAAAGCTTACTGTGCTGGTTAACATGTGAATGGGAGACCATCAGGAAATGCCAGATTGCAGACTAAACAGGGAAGTTAATTCTTCCCTTTCCTTATGCAGTCAAAGTTTCCTAAGGAATTTGTGATGATTTTGATGAAGTTTACATCAGATTTCTAGAAAGGCAAAGAAGCATCCCAAGATGCTTTCAGGACCCCAAATACAAATTTCTCAAACAATATGTTCCTTTCTACCATTTCACACAAATCAATATGGAACTGGAGTGAATGTATAATCATCAAATTTATGTAGCCCAAGGGTTTGCAGTGAAGTTGGGGAAATGAACGAAGCTGATGTAAACTGACAAATGTTTGCCATAAAATACTATTGTTGTGTAAAGTTATTCTTATACGTTTTACTGCAGAAATCTGTTTGTAAATCTGTAAGTTTATTGTTCCAGGTAAGTACTATATTGAGTTCTCTTAACATTCAGACGGGAACTTCAGGATTGGAAGTTTCACTTGAGCCCACTTTCTCAAATTTAATAGTTGTCCATGCAACAACTTTCTCCATAAATATGATGGAGAATTTTGTACGGCCCTAATCTTGCCTCAATTTTCACAGAAACAGACTGACAGATAGTACTGCATTTTATCTTACCGTTGAAAAGAAAATTAAAAAACTCGTAACTGGAAATGTAGGAATCAAAGCAATAAATGGATATATCAGAGGTGAAGTAAATGATACAGATGATACAACTATTGCAAATGAAATTACAGACACCTAAAATAAAATAAGAAAGTATATTAATATTTTTAACTTGCTAAACCTCTTCACCCAGGTATTCCTTTCCATTAAGTCTGTTGTGCCTTTACTCTTTAAATTTCTACCCCAGCTAAAACTAGATCTAAGAAATGTCTCTAAACCTGTTTGATCAATACTCTCAATTTTCATTTCTGCAATTAAATCTGCTGCGGAAAACTAGATATGAATTCTTCACTTTGCTAATTTTATTGTCTCAGTTGTGAAAAGTTGTCAATGGTTGTTCTGATAAAGCAACTGCTCAAAAGATGGCAGCTGGAGAGGGTCCAAATTATTGCTCTCTCACCTTTCACCAAATGTACACCAAAGAAACACACAAACAATTCTCATACACATTCTGGAATAGCAGGTAAAGCATATATACATCTATAAAATAAGTCGCAAGGTGATGAAAAAAAATCAGAACAGGCAAGGAAAGAGGGAGATTGAGATCCACAGGCATTCACAAACATATGCATTAAGGGGGAGCATCTTTGCACAGGTACCACTTGCCTTGGGAATGGAGAGATAAATAATCTTCCCCTTGTAACTTATGCACACAAAAACTGGGGGGCCGAGGGTAGACTTTTTTCGAGTTAATACAAGGTTACTAGGAAGATCTAATGATAAGTTTGTGCCTATTGTTTTGAATGGCCCAGAATGAGTGCATAGTTCTGGCAATATTACCGTAGACAATTATCTTTTTATTTATTCATTCATTTATTAAATCTGTTTGCCACCCATCTTGATGCAAGGCGATTTTTTGCTACATTTGTCATGGTTTCACCAGCCACTAGCAATACAAGGAATCTACACTTAACAACAGTAATTGGGACTGGAATTTTTGCTGTGGATAATGAACATGTGTTCATCCCAAGCATGTTTAAACTCAGTTACAGATGATTGACACACTACCTTCGCTGGAAATTGCTTCTACACTTCCACTACTCTTTCTGTGAAGTAATCATCATTAGAGGTTTAAAAAATTAGCAATATGTGGAAGCGTTGGATTTCTACGATCTCTAGACATTTTTAATGAATTGGTATTTCTTTTCTCCACCTCTCAATCTGGGGGGGACAGGGATGGAGCTATCCAACCTGCTTTCCCAGGCCAGCTGCCCTTCACAATCTCTATAAGCACAGAAACAATATACTCATTCTGAGCTAAATCACATCATTGTCCTTCAAGCGCATACTGTACAACAGTGTTTCTAACGTTCTCTGTATAATCTACTCTATAGATAGAGAGAGAGATAGGGGAGGTGAGAGAGAAAGAGGCAGAGTGTACTTCAGGTAATCTTTGTCTTATAACTTTGTTCAAAGTTACCACAGCACTGAAAAATAAATGATTTTTGACCGCTGCCTGCACAACCTTCATGATATCCCCAAGGTCATGTAATCAAAATTCAGATGCTTTGTTGGTTCCTGGCATGTTGGGTTGTAAAAATTGGGCACGCACAACACACTTAACAACTGCCTTGCTTAGCAATGGAAATTCTGGGGTCGTAAGTCAAGGACTGTTGAACAGGAATCTGATGAATTTGATGATTGGCTAAAGGGAACATATGTGTAGAGGGCAGAATTGAAATTTAGGCCTCAGCAGACCTTTGAGGCCGTGGAACATTCCATAGGAAACCACTAGCCTATGGGTTAGGCATGTGACCAAAACTACAGAAAGCGTGCTTGAGTATTTTTATAACTTCTATACTTCTATACCTTATCTGTTGTGTGCCAGCTTCCTCTTATGTAACTAAGTAAAAGCAAAGAAATCTATAAATATCTGCCTTACACTGTGTTGGGGTTCTTCCACTTTAAGGGAGGATTCATCTTTATTCAGCTGAATAAATGCGTATGGCTTATCAGGACAAATCCGGACTCCATCTTTTACTCTCTTTTTTTTTAGCCGAAGTCACACCTGTGTCCCCTGCATAACAGACTACCTGCATTCCTGCTTCTTTCGGGCGAATATTGCAATTAATAATGTTTCCAACCAATGTGCTACGGAAAAGGCAGTGGTACTGAATAGTTAAAAGCCCTGCCCAGCCCAATGAAGCTTCAGGCAACCTATGTTCATAGTAAACAGTTATTGCATCTCTGATATGGGGAAGGAATTAACCACATAAATTGCCTTCTTATAAAGCCCAGAGGTAGACCGAAGAGGGAACCATCTTTGAAAGCACAACTCCCAGATTCAAGCATGCCCTCCCAACTGACTTCTTGGAGGAGTGTGAAGGTGTCATGTAAAGACCAGGCTTTTCCTAATCACATTATCCCACACAATAGAGCAAATTGAATTCTGCATGGTGACTTTTCAGACATAAAGGTACTCCTTGACCTATGACCACCAATGAGCCCAACATTGACACTGCTAAGCAAGAGAGCTGTTAAGTGAATTTTGCCTCATTTTACAACCTTTCTTACCAGTGTTAATTGAATCATTGTAGGTATTAAGTTAGTAACATTGTTGTAAAATGAATCTACCTTCCCCCATTGACTTTGCTTGTCAGAAGGTTGCAAAAGGGAATCACATGACCCCAGGTCACTGCAACCATCACAAATATATGCCAGTTGCCAAGCATCTGAATTTTGATCATGTGACCATAGGGATGCTGCAACAGTCATAAATGTGAAAAACTGGCATAGGTCACTTTTTTCAGTGCCATTGTAACTTTGATTGTCCACTAAATGAATGGTTACAAGTCAAGAACCGCCTGTGGGAGGGGGAAAAAGGTAGAAGAAGAGAATGATTTGTTGTATACTTACTAATACCAAGATGAATGACCAAAAACTGGCAGTATGCATATTTTTACGAAATATGAAAGCAATCAAATATAGGAATAGGACCACAGAGGTACTATAACCAAGCATAAATATCACCTGTTTAAAAATAAGGCCTTAAATTAATGGTATGCTAATTTTTTGGGGAAAAAAACAAATTATTCTTATTAATATATGCAATATTTTCAATATTTAAATATAAGTAACATTTAAATAATAACACAAAAGCATATTATATTAAATATTTGATTAAAGGACCTCAGTTTAACAGACTTCAGGTCAATCTACAAAAATCTATGTTGGGGAAAAAAAGATATAGATTTGCCCAGTCGTGTCTGACTCTAGGGGGCAGTGCTCATCTCTGATTCACAACAAAATACTGTATCCAGCATTGTCCAAAGACATTTCCCATGGTCATGTGGCCAGCATGACTGCATGCTGAAAAGATAGAGAGCACTGTTACCTTCCCACAAAGTGGTACCTATTTAACTACTCGCATTTGCCTGATTTGAAACTGCTGGCTTGGCAGGAACTGGGGTAAGAACAGGAGCTCACCCCGTCACGTTGTATTTAGATCTCAAACGGCTAATCTTTCGATTGACAAGTCCCACGTCTTAACCACTATCTTGAGTCTGCTTCACACCCTAGTAACCCCACTAGCTCTGTTGGCTAGAACTGTCTTATAATGATGTTGCCTGAATAATTATGGAGTTGCCATCTCAGCTGATTACAGGGCCTTTGTATCCATTTCAAGTAGCCTCTCTTTGCTATTTTTCAATCACTTATTGAAATACTTATTTGTGATTAAAGATAGAAGCCTACCATTCAAAGCCTGAAACTGGACTGTTTGCTACATATTATTAAGTAAGTTACTGATGTCCATCATGCAAAAATGTAAACATTAAAAGCTATTAAAGGCCACATTTTAAATGTTAGTTAAACCATTAAACTTACCAAAAGTAAACATAAAATGCTCAGATTCCCAGTGGTTACAATAGTTAATTTTAGAATCCAGGGCCATAACCCTAAAACAAGTAGGGCACAGTGCAGAGGAACATCTATCAGAGCTTGTCCAAACCAATAGGCAGAAGGAAAAAGCCCTGAGATCCAGAGCTGAGAGTGAGTTTTTATCTAGCAAAACAAACAAATATTTTGAGGTGAGGGGAGAGGAGAGGAGAGGTTTTGAGGTCAAATTGTAGAATCAGACAGAGAAAGAAAACTACACAGAATTCAGATTTATTCTTTTAATGGTTTTATAATCTACCCAGATGACTTGTACAATTAGACAGATTTGAGACAAAAGAAGGGGAAAATAACTAAACAGTACATACCAGAGTTAATATAGGTAATTGGACATCAATATAAAACATAAACACATATGTATCTCCACAGTGATCTGATGTTTCCTTATTAATCAGCACAACCTTGCCAATTCAGTGGAATATTTTAACATAAATTTAATTATTTTTACCTTGTAGTCATTCATGCTCATCATTGCAAACTGAGGTGGTAAAGCAGGCAGAAAAATGAAAGTCTCTAACATTTGTAATTCCAAAAAATAAAATGGAAGATGTTCATTTTGAAATTCCTGGAAAATGGATTTTAAAAAAAAGCTTTATATGTGCACTGTGATAAAATGTCATAATGAAATAGTTGTTCTAAACATGTCTACTTGGCAAGCTTAGATATGACTGATAATGAAATTTAAAATAGTCTAACCAATTGATTTTTCCACATTTTAATGATTTCTTAAAATCTACATTCTTTTAAAAAAAGATATTCCTATACGTTCCCATTTATTCTCTGCCTCCATATTTGTGATCTTATTGGAATACTTACCCCTAAAAACAATTGACTCCAAATTCGAAGATGGGCAGTGGAATTAAGCATGTTCAAAAATGCATTGCTGATGATGTTGACAAGCACAGGAAAGCAGTTAGTTTTTTCTATGTGGCACATAAGTGTGAACCCGTATTTCTGAACCAAAGCAACAAGTTAGAATATAGATGAATCAAGAGAAGAAAGTGATCAAATAGTTTGAAAAAGAGGCAAGAGGCAAGAGGCAATGACTGACACATTTTGACTACCGTAATAATTAAACATAAGGTTCTCTTTTATAGCCTACTGTAAGAGCCTCATCTGGTTTCTAAGTGAGAGCCAGGTTATAATTTACTTAAATTTAATACAATTACATTAAACATGCTTAATACTGTATTCCTTTTGGTACATTAACAGTTTCAAATGAATAATAATAGAATTTCTCAACTTAGCAACTTTAAGATCTGTGGACTTCTATTCCCAGAATTCCTCAGCCAACAAGGAACTCTGGGAGTTGAAGTCCACTGATTTTAAAGTTGCTAAAGCTGAGAAACATTGGCAATAACATGTTTCAGAGAAGCTGTCCCTGAGAGTGGGGTTG